AAAAACAGTCCTGCAGCTCAGTAATGATAACGAACTAATGACGTTAGTGTGTGACCGAGCTGCTGCTGGAGCAAAAACAAACATGTTCGTCTGTAATGGCTGCCGTCTACCGGTGTTCTGAAAAGGTTTGTATCCCTGAAAAAAGTTTCCCCACCAGAGGGGGCGCTCACGAGTAGGAAGTAATCTGCTTTTCCCCCAGAAGATGGTCCAAATCTCGTGAAGTCTCTGACTTTTGTGTTGGCGCCTCCTGGTGGACTATGTGTAAAATGTCAGATTCATATGATGCTGCTACAGCTGATATATATTTGTTGTCGAAATACCTTTTAGTACATATGTTGTTAAAATAAAATGAACAGTCCAATGATCATTTTACTGAGATGCATAAAGACTGCAAAGGCTGAAAAATCTTGCAGTCTGTATGAAATTGGAGGTAGTTTGAGGATTTAAATTTTTATGCTTTTTAAGCTAAAAAAAAGGGGGGTCGTATTATACATGAGATCGTATTATACATGAATAAATACGGTATGTTTCTGCTGTGTTGTCTCTCTGAACTMGAGAGCTCCAAAGAGTTGAGACTGGATGTTTGTCTTTCATGGGTTGCAAACTGCAGAKAGAGATGCAAATCGAAGATGCGACAGAGTAAGAGCTGAACAGCTAAAATGTTATTTGCTTGATTCACATCTGCAAAAACTATTATTACAAAAACACTGGTTTACACCTGATGTGTGGATGAAGTCCTTCTGGATACAAAGCCGGCTAAGAACTGTAACACATTAAGCTCGACCAGTAGAAGACTGGGAAAACTTTTTGTCCAACATACCTCAGTGGATGAGACAATAGCTAATGAGGACATGTGCATGCACATGTACTGTTGGATTTCATGTTGCCTTATCATTTCTTTTCCTGAGCACCAGAGCTGTAAAGTAACTAAGTACAAATACTTTGTTACTGTAATTAAGTAGAATTTGTGGGTATCTGTACTTTACTTGAGTAATTATTTTTCAGCGTACTTTTTACTTCTACTTCTTACATTTTAACACAATTATCTGTACTTTCGACTCCTTACATTTTTTAAAAAGGCACAAAGTAGAAAGTTGTTACTTTTATTTCATTTGTGCTTGTTTTCATTGCAGCTTGTTATTGTAAAAAATAAATACTATCCATATTAACTGTGCCTCTTAGAGTGAATTTGTAGTTGAATGAAAAGTATAAGTATATAAAACTCTGATACTGTATTAGTTTGTACACAAACAAATCATGTCACACTGCAGCAGGACATAATCATTAAAATAAAAGGACTGTACTTAAGAAGTATTTGTTTTTCATGAGTTATATTGTTACATTTGGTCGCAGGTTTGTGCAGCCTTGATATATGTATATAAACTGAAACAGTGCATCATAAATTTAACATGAATTAATTATTTTGATACTATATACATACTATATACATGTATATAGTA